TCTCTTTGGAGCTGCATCGTCTCCAGGATGCGCCAATTTTGGTTTAAAGCATCTCGCACGACAACACCAAACCGACTATCCTCTAGCGCAGTGTCTCCCAAAGTGGGGTCCGCGGCCCCCTGGTGGGCCGCGAGGGTACTGCAGGGGGGCCGCGGGAGGTCATAAAAAAAATAAAAAAAATAATATAATTATTTAATGTTACATTTATAATGTTTTGTTTGTAATATTAAAATATTTGTGTTCATTATTTGACTTGAATAATCCACTGTAATAATTTGTGTATGTAGCAGAGGCTATTTCCCCAAAATAAAATAACCAGAAGAGCCTATTCTTAATGTTGTCTTCTTGGTTATTATTTTGGGGGGCCACGCAGACCCGTCAGATTTTTAAGGGGGCCTCGGTGTTACTGAGTTTGGGAATGGCTGCTCTAGCGTCAACCTTTGTGGAGAAAAACTTCTACGTTGACGACGGATTAGTCAGCGTTTCATCAGTCGAGGAAGCCAAGGAACTGATCACTCAGTCACAAGAGTTGTGCAGAAAGGGAGGCCTACGCCTTCACAAATTCAACTCGAATGAAGAAGCTGCTCTCTCCAACGTAGACCTTTCAGAAAGAGCATCAACCGTTGAACCTCTTGGGCTTGATCCAACCCCTTCAGAACGCGCTCTTGGCATTCAATGGTCGATAAAGGACGACACCTTCAGCTTTAACATCAGTCTGAAAGATCAGTCTTCGACTCGCCGTGGCTGTTTGTCTGTCATTGCCTCGCTCTACGACCCACTTGGATTCATCGCTCCATTCAGCCTATGTGGAAAACGTATCCTCCAAGAGCTTTGTCACAGAGGCATCGGATGGGATGACCCACTCCCAGAAGATATGAAGCCACAGTGGGAGAAATGGATGAATGGTCTTGTCAAGTTGAAGGAGGTCTCAATTCCCAGATGTTACCACCCACATAACTTTCAAAGCATCGTCAGAGTAGAGCTACACCATTTTTCGGACGCCAGTTGCATAGGATATGGTGCATGTTCTTACCTCAGGTACATAAATGACAGGGACGAAGTCCATTGTAGTCTTGTGATGGGTAAAGCAAGAGTCGCACCCTCAAAGGTCACAAGTATCCCGAGGCTTGAACTCGCAGCGGCGGTGGTTTCTGCAAAAGTAAGCGTCCTGTTAAAAGCAGAGCTTGATATGAAAATCGACGACGAGTGCTTCTGGACAGATTCCCAAGTTGTACTTGGCTACATCAACAATGATGCTCGCAGGTTCCACATATTTGTTGCAAACCGCGTTCAACTTATCAGAGACAACAGTAATCCCAATCAGTGGTATTATGTGGACACCTCAGAAAACCCAGCGGATCATGCATCACGAGGACTCCATGCTTCAGACATTCACTCAACGAACTGGCTGCAAGGACCAAAGTTTCTCTGGGAACGTGAATTACATCTAAATCCTAGCACTCCAGCTGAATTACTCGTTGGCGATCCTGAAGTCAAGACAATTCAGGTGCTCGCAACTGAAGCCAGTACCTTCAATGACATTCTCGATCGTCTGAATCAGTTTTCATCGTGGATGAAACTTGTAAAGGTGGTCGCAAGAATCAAAAGACTGAGGTCTCAACAAAAACACACAGAACATGTGACGGTCAAAGAGCGTGAGAAAGCTGCCGAAGCAGTGATAAAGATCGTACAGCAGCAAGCCTTCCCCCATGAAATAAAGATGCTCCAAGCTGAAAAGGACCTGCCAAATTCAAGCGCTCTCTTCAGTCTGGACCCCATCTGGTCTGAAGGACTTCTGTGTGTTGGTGGGAGATTAAAGCGGTCGTCTCTTTGCCACAAAGTGAAGCACCCACTTATCTTACCAAGCAACAGCCATATAACCAAGCTGATTGTGTCCCACTACCATGCTAAGACATGCCATCAAGGTCGAAGCCAGACACAAATGGAGCTCAGAACTAATGGATTCTGGGTCGTTGGTGGAAGCAAACTGGTGGCCAAACTGATACACACCTGTGTACTTTGCAGGAAACTTCGACGACCTACAGAGAGCCAGCGGATGGCTGAACTACCTAAAGAACGTCTTGAAGCCTCAGCACCTTTCACATTTAGCGGCATGGACTGCTTCGGCCCGTTCATTGTAAAGACAGCCCGCAAAGAACATAAAAGATATGGTCTGATCTTCACGTGTCTGTACTCGAGAGCTGTCCATATCGAGATGCTTGAGGATATGTCTACTGACTCCTTCATTAATGCATTGAGATGCTTTATCAGCCTTAGAGGAGCTGTCCAACAATTACATTGTGACCAAGGTTCCAACTTCATTGGTGCCAGGAACGAATTCAAGGAAGCACTCAAGCAATGTAACGCCAAACGATTGGAGACCTTCCTATCTGAAAGGCAGTGCGAATTTGTCTTCAACGCCCCGTCCGCTAGCCACGCAGGAGGTGTCTGGGAAAGGCAAATAAGAACAGTCAGAAGTGTGTTAAACGCCACCTTTGCACAGTGCCCAGGTCGACTTGATGATGCCTCTCTCAGAACACTGCTATATGAGGCCATGGCTATTGTTAACAGTCGCCCACTATCAGTTGGTGGAATCAATGATCCTCATGCACTGGAACCTTTAACGCCGAATCACCTCATCATGATGAAAACAAACGTTGCGCTTCCACCCCCCGGAGTGTTTGTGAAGGAAGATTTATACGCGACAAAAAGATGGAGAAGAGTCCAGTATCTCATCGAACAGTTCTGGAGTCGCTGGAAAAGAGAGTATCTGCTCAACATATCCACAAGACAGAAATGGCACTTACCTCAGCGTAACCTCAAAGTCAATGACATTGTCATTATCAAAGACGACAACCTCCCACGAAACCATTGGCAACTAGGACGAGTGGTGGAGACTGTTCAAGACCATGATGACTTAGTCCGTCGAGTCAAAGTACGAGTTGGGGAGAGAAAGCCTCAAAGAAAGCAAGATGCACCCTCCAAACCCTCAATTATTGAGAGACCAATCCAAAAACTAGTACTACTCCTTGAGAATTAAATGATACAAATTAAGATAAGACAACAATAGTTACGTATACACTACTTTATTGTATGAAGTACACTCACCTGTATACCTCTGATAGTTCTAAATAGAGGCATTCATTTATCAGAGTAGGGAAATCCTGTACAATTCACTTGCTTTGTGTATTTGTTCATTCATTGTATCAGGATTTGGTGGGAGTGTAAATGCCAGTGAGGCTATTTTATTTTACGCCCTTATTTTGAAAGGCACCGCTCTTCCTGTTCTCTTTGCGTCGTTACTTCTGGTTCCGTTCTCAGTAAAACGACACTGCTACGCTGTTTCAGAGTCGATATAAACTTTTACTCTTTGGGATAGGTATGTAAAACATGTACTTCATTTGCCTGTCGTATGCAGTAACTTTTGGAGAAATTATTCATTGCAGTTGAAATCGTTTTTCTTTGTTTTCCTTTGTATATGCATGTCTTTTGTTTGCCATGTGGAAAGATTGGCTATGAAAAGTGCATGGAGGAAGCTGCTAGCGGTTTTAGCAAGATTAGCGCCCTTGGAAGCAGAAAGAGGTTGGTGCAGTGATTAAAAACGGTTGTTTATTTATTTAAGAAATTTAAAGGTGGTCTTTATTTTATTTTATTAAAAGCTGTAACCTAAATAGTTTAAAGGTGTTGATTTCATGTCAATATTACGATTTGTGTTCAACTATTTTCTATGATTTGTGATAAAATGATGGCATTTATTTGTGCACTTTTATAGTTTTCACGGTGCCATATTGTCGGCGACAGAAAGAGGAGAGAATTAAAGTTGCATCAGTCGAAGCTCTCTGCATCTTGAGTGGTGATTCCAAGTGGGCAGCTACACGCTACATGTTATTCTTTTTGTTTTGATTTAAGTGCAATTGTTAAATTGTAATAAATCTGCCGGCTGTTCAACTTTAATTCTTTCTCCTTCCTACTCCTCTAGAACCTAGTCTGAAATCCCTAACTTAATTATATTAAGCAGGTGTTACACTTGCTTTCAAAAAATTTAGTTCAATCGGTAATTTTCACAGCTTTCCTAGTTAAGGAAGTGAAAAAGAGAGGACCACCCTCACTCGACCAATCAGCTCTCAGCTCAAAGTGTCATTTAGTGACTCCCACACGTCTTACAATATCAAAGGTTTTCTACTTTGATGACGACAGCGTGTAGTGGTCTGATTAGTTCAAGAAATGTTACTTCTACCAAATATGACAAAGGTACAAATAGACTTTACTGTGTTGCCCAAAAGTAACATAAAAACCCTACATTTTCTTTATCCTTGCATATTTAAAGACACTAATGGGCACTAATGTTTACTTTGCTACCCCTTTGTTGAGGAACAAGGTACATTTATTAAGTGCAAGTGCAACATTGTTAATATATGTTGCATTATTTGTAAGTAAACTTTAAGAGTATGGAATATTAGCTCACACTTCCATCCATCCATCCATCCATTTTCTTCCCCTTAATCCATTTCTGGGTCGGGGGGGGGGGGGGGGGGGGGGGGGCTTTGGGCAAAGTGGGGTTAAGTGTCTTGCCCAAGGACACAACAACAGCAGTCATCAGTGGGAGTCGTGAAGTAGGTCTTACGGGGGGCTCGAACCCACGACCTTCAGGCCCAAAGGTGCTCTACCAACTGAGCTACTGTTCGCCCCTAGCTCACACTTGACTTTGTTAATAATAATGCATCGGTTTTATATAGTGCTTTTCTGGACACTCAAAGACACTTTACATGTCATTATTCTTTCACTCGATACACGGTGGTGATAAACTACTATTGTAGCCACAGCTGCCCTGGGGCACACTGACAGAAACAAGGCAACCAGTCTGTGACATCGGCCCCTCCCAACACCATCAACCATTCACACACCAGACTCATTCTAGGCAATGGGGGTGGAGTGTCTTGCCGTGGCACCTGGTGTTCTCTGGCGGTAGAATAGAGAATGTGCTCTGGCGTGTGGCGCACTCACATGGTGTTGTCTCCCAGCTCCTCGTACAGGTTGTTGGCCATGCCTCCCCCAGGTTTGCCGCTTGGAAGAGACATCTGGATCCGGGCTGTTTTGGCACACTCCTCCTGCCGCCTGCAACCAGCGCGGGGAATTGGACTCAGGTTAGGGCAAAAATAGCACAGAAGAAAGAGATAAGAAGAGTAATGTTGTATCTGGTACAATGACTCACGATGAGATATTCAGGAGGAGACCAGGGCACTCTGTGTGTTGTTGAATAACTTTATACTAAATTCATGTCAGTAGGTTATACGTGTTTTACAAATAGGATTAACTATGCATGAACTTATACAACATTTTTAAAGGCTGATTATGTATGTTGGTTCAATACATCTTTTCAAGCTGCAAATGATCAAGGTTGATGCTAAAGCCCTTGTTCGCAAATAAGAAATGTTAAGTGATTACATAAAAGGTATATTTTTACTTTTATGCTATCCTTGGGTCAAATTGGCCTGCCGCAGCGACTAAAAAATACCCTAAATATATGTTTTTCAAGCTGAATGTTTATCATTTTTTCTAACTTGACCAGCCCTGGGTCATATAGACGCCTATTTTGTTATACTTTTAATCATAATAATGTTGACCTGAGGAAGAAAAGTAAAGTGTTTTATTTGTGAAAAGTTTGTTTATAACTGATCGTTTGCATCTACTACAGTATATAAGTTCTCCTTATCGCAGGGGTTCTCTTGTTTACGTTCTATAAATGACCTGTAATTAGTTAAATCCTTGAAGTAGCAGCTTTGTGTTTTAAGGCTGTAAAAACCCTCACATAAATATTTCTAACCACCTGAGCTCACGACTGCTGAGAGCGATTGTGGAGATATCAAAGCGGTCTGAGCGCCACTTATATGATGTGTTTGGAGACGTAATCAAGCTGGAGCCAATTTCCTTATATGGGCATTTGTTCTGACGCCATCAGTGTTGTGCCGTAACAGGGGCAGACGTGTTGCTATGCTGGTTGCTAAGGCCCGTGAATGAAGGCAACTGACTTGTAAATCCCTATAAGGCTGATATCTGGATTTATAGAGGAAGTAGAAGTAGCAGCAAGATGTAACACCAGGGTCACAGAAAGATAAACCATGGATTATTTTATCCCGACTTGGTGAGTGTGACACAAACGGTTACTGAGCTAGAGGAGTTTACTTTTCATTCTATTGACTTCAGTCGAGTCAACAGCAGCCTGAGCCAGCTGGAGCAAAACTTTGTCCATGTGCACTCCCCTATTGGGCTTCATTGAGCTACCGGATTAGCATTGTCCATCTATATACAGTCCATGGTTTTGGCCCTTTTACAGTGTGGTTGCCAGGTAACTACCTCCATCTGTCCAATTATAAACTTGATTATATTGGCCAAACTTGGCAAGATATTTAGTCAAATTTCACTTCACTCCCACTGAACCGTGGAAGACTCAGCCTTTGCCGCCCCCTCCCTCTGGAGCTCTTCCCCTTCAGCTAAAACTTTCCTCAAAAACACCTAATCCCTCACTGTTGACTTCTTGTTAGGGGCTTTTCTGTGAGGGTTATCTATTTGATTAACATATTCTTTAAAAGTGAAATCTAATAAGTAAGTTGGGTTTTCTACAGAGATGTTCATATTATAGAATTATTTTTAAGCTGGAGGGCAGGCGCCAACATCACTCTAAATGAAAGACAATGTTGAAATGCAAAATGTTCAAATGTTTTTCCAGATTATGTGTTATAGATTCTACTCTCAAAGCCGCCACAGAATGGTTATGTTTCTGCTGGCCAACATCATGCCTATGTTTTTGAATATTGTCACCATTTATAGACACCACCATGAGGAAAATAATGAGACCATAATTTATATACAGACAATATTTAGAACTTTGAGGCGGTTTTTGTTTCATGTGGATTGACCCAGGGATTACAGGGAATTTAGCGAGAAACTGAGACTACAAATCTGAGTTAGCATATTTCATCTGTCCTCCACCACAGAATTAAACTATAGGCTTTTTGGAATCTTGTAATGTCACATGAACAGAACCTATTTATCGCAAATGTTTCTTTCCATTTCTTCAACTCTTCCAAGACTCGAGTGTGGTCCAAAGAAATAATTTAAAGTTTGATCTAAATCATTTCTACAGCGTTGGGACTTCAGAGATCTCAGATAATCCACTCATGTACAGTAGAAAAAAGGGAACAGTGGTGAATTTGCCAAAAAAATTGTCCAAACGCCAATAGTACTAGAATGAGTCGAGACCAAACCAAAGCGCCAGGTCGAGGCGGGGAGAACTGCAAATAAGTTTTCACAGTATTGTAATTGGATAGGTCCTTCAGCCTGATGCAAGTCTGATTAGTGTGAAGTCCGTATCTCTGGATCTGAAAGAATTCATCCAGATCATGTTTTAGAAATCAAACCGCTGGTGTTTGGAGAGAGCACCTTAACAGCTGTCAAAAAAGTCAGATTTTTTAAACAATATGCACTTGTCTTTCATGTCTTTATGCGGTTTTGCACTGTGGCCACTGAAGCACTGCAAAAAGGGATGGGAAAGAAGTCAAAAAATGCTCAAAATTGGCAAAATGCATCTTAATTTGAGCACATTCCGACTGTCTTAAAACAAGATTTGCCAACGAGACAAAGCAAAATGATCTTGTTCCAATGTCTCCCTTGGAATGAGAAAAAAAAACACACAATTCTCTAAATAAGACTAAATGGCTTTGTCCCATTGGTGAATCAGAATGTACTTAAGTTAAGAAAAAAAAACAATTATTACCTTATATTTTTATCATTTTTTCCAGTGTATTTTCAAGAATGTTAAAACTTTTCAGCAAATCAAACTATTAGCATTCCAATGACATACAGTATTTTACCAATTTTCCGTGTTATAAACCGAGAGAATGGTGGCCCTTTCCGTCGAGCGCAAGGTCATGTAAAGCTGTGTTTTTCATTTGCGGGATTTGGCAGCGTCCTCGGAGCTAATGATTGCTGTCTTTTCCACGGATTAATTTCTGTGATTATTCCCTGTCCTTTACGTGTCAGCGCATGGGGCCATCTATTTCACTGCGCGTCCAAAGTCAACACATAAATCACAGCCCATAAACAAATATTTAGCACAAGGAAGGCATTACTTACTCTTTGAATCTGGTGCGTGCCCAGGAAGCGGCAGCAGCAGCAGCAGCAGCAGCAGTAGCAGAGGAAACAGAGAAAGGGAGGAGGATTAGTCATCTTACCCTTCATAAATCATGTAATTGTTTGTGTTAGAATAAGGTGGAGACAATTGGTCTTCATTACAGCCACTTAGGAACAAAGTAGAGTGCTTAGGATCACTTTGTTTGCTTTTTGTGGTGAACCATCTTAAGCTTTGTCTGAACGTGTGCGATGGACCAGAGGAGATGAAAAGCCTGTACCATGGTGGGTTCGGGAAACAGACTCGGACAAGTTGCCATGCTAAATTAAACAGAACAGCAGCGCTCAAGGACGTCCTTAGAGAGAAACGGCGGATGTGGATTGGTGCTACGAGTTCTATTTAAATGACAATGGTTATTTTATGACCCATGGCTGATTTTCAAGACTAAGTTTGCTTTTATAGCCCCTTTTGCCAGTGTATTCCCAGCGCGACTAGAGCCCTATAGGCTGTTGCTCCAATAATTACTTACATGAGGAGTACCCAACGTTCAAACCACAAAAAATTAACTATTTGAGTCTAGCTCCTCGGTCTCAAAACAGTTTCTCAATTCTTAGTAGTAGCTTCAATAGTATTTTCTTAAAGCTTGGGTACCTAACTTTCAAATTACCAAACATGTATTTATGTAGTATGGCTTGTGTGATCATGAAGTTTTGTAAATAAATATAATTGAATAGAATTGAACCTGGCTCACTAGTTTTCAAATGCATGTATTTTTTGGTCTTTAGATCAGTGTTTTTAGTCAGAAAAGTGACAAAGATTGGCCCACCTTCACTTAACAAATCAGCTCTCAGCCCAAAGCTCTTTCTTACAAGTATGCAAAGGATTTTCAATAAGATGAAATCATGTTGTGGTCGGATTTGTTCACAACATTTACTTTTAGGATTAGAAAACATGTATTATCGTGTACAAAACTTAGGGTGCGCCAAATGTGACATCTCCATTGTGAGATCAATAAAGTCTGTCTAATGTTTTTATCTATGGAGTGAAACAGCACCCACACTTTAAGGCTCAATAATGGAAACTACTTGTCGCTAAACTAAAGAACTGAATGAATGATTAGAATAAGTTTAATTCCATAATTTGGATGTGGTGCTGTAACATAAGGAGACAGCCGGCTGGTGAACCCTGCACAAACAAGCTAGAACTGGTACTTTATATACTGAAGGGTACTCAGCCTCCTCCGCCTCCTCACACACAATAATAAAGGTGTCTTTCAGATCAATACGACCAACGAGCTCTTAATGAGGTGCAAATGTGAGGGGAACAATATCAAAAACAAGAGGGTCTTTCACAGTCAAAATAAACGTCTAAAATATGAGCTGTAGTGTTTTGAACCAGGTGTTAGCATTATTATCCACCTGAGCCAACATCATGTCGAAATGTGTTTTAAAATATGTTTTTCCCTGAATGTTATTGTCTCGTGTTCTTTGCAGCTGCCATGCATTTATTGACAACCCACTGAGGCTTTCAGCAAATGTTTCCCTTTTCATGATTTTCTTTTAAAAAGTGAAAGATACATTCACATCCACATGAAAATCACATTCTTTCTGACAGAGCAGACTGGTCCTCGGGGTCAAAGTAAGTGACAGGTTTGCATCAAAGTTGGTCCATTTCATACATTATATTACATTTTTGTTCAGATTTTGGTGTAAAAGAAAAGTATTTGATATATTATTTCATCTTTATGCTCAATAAAATGGTGAAACTGACACTTGAAATAATAAATGAAGAACAGGTGTTAGGTGTTGAAAAAAAATACACTTGATAAATTGGAAGAACAGTTGGTTCTCTTCACCTCTTTGGACATTTTTGGCTGTTTTTGTCCCTAAATGCAGTCTGAATATCAAGCGTCATTATCAACCATTTTAGTGAATTCCTTGGGTCTGTAGTCTGCAGAAAAATATGTCCAATAGTCTTGCTCAAGAACACAGCGACAGTTTGGAACTTTACAGTCACAGCCGCCCCACTGTGGCACCTGGTGTTTCCAAAGGTCTCCCATCACAGAACTAACCAGGCCCTGCCCTTCTTCAGCTTCAGGGGTCTGTCAGGATCTAGCTTTCACATGCAGGTAAGGCCACAAACACACACATACTATTTTGGAAATCTATCTTTTTGAAAGTGTTTGAGGCCTTCATTTACTCTCTTTTGTTAATCCCACTATACATTCAATTCAAATCAATGTTTTCTTGTATAGCCCTAAATCACAACAGAAGTTATCTCAGAGGACTTTAAAAAAACGTTGAATTTTCCAACACAGATCAGAGAATCAAAAAGTTCAAACACAAGAAATGCAATGTTAAAAACACATAGAGCCATTGATCCATAAGGGGCAGAGACCAATGTCCATAAATGTTGACATATGTCCGTAAATGTTGATAAAGGTCCGTGAATGTAAGATTAGCATATTTTCAGTTTGAGAAATCTGAAGTATAGAGATATAAGTGACTTGCACTCACTGCTTGTATGTGACCACCACGATGAGAATGGCCGGGACGCAGCAGATGATGATGATGACGGCCAAGGCCAGCAGAGCCCCCTCCGTGTAGCCCACAGTCTGCACGGCCTTCTTCACTCCGCTCACCACCTCAGGAGTCCGGATCTCCAGGATTCGACCCCCGGGGGGCATAAAGGGCTGGAACTCTTTATTTATATCCAACAGCTTGCCATCCAAAAACCTTTACAAGCACAGAACACTTTGTGAGCAGTTTATCTCAGACTATTTTTATTCCAACACTTTTCTCCCCACACGTACTTGAACAACTCCTGTCGCGCTATGGCTCTGTTTGTGAGCGGGTCTATGGCGTAAATCATTAGTCCGGATTTGGAGTAGTCTTCCAGCTCCATCCCGTCGCCATAGCGATGAGGTCCAATCGTTTCCACAATAACTTTCGCCCCGGGGATCTGGTCCTGGACGTGGCGCTCCAAAATGCTGAAAATGAAAATATGCTTCAGGAAAAAATACAACAAGAACTAATTAATAAAGTAATGAGCAGGAGACAGGACCGAACCCTGAGGTGTGCTCCAGGGCCGAGCGTGGGGAGCGCCGCATCTAATAGGGCCATCCCATAATACCATCGTTACAGCCTTATTACAGCCTTTCACTTCAGCGTTTAATCTACTCTTTTATTAAACTTAATTTGGAATGTATCGTTTCTCTGCACAGCATCACTTTGAGTCATGCATTTCCCTTTGATAAACATGAACTCAAATGTACATTGTTCTGATGTCGGACTAAATTCTGGATCCCCGATACGGTCGTTGATATTGACAAGATAGATTTGTTTTTAATGGATTGAAAGTATAAGTATAAGTGACTTTTTGGGTCTGTTTTTTAGAGCTGTGAGCTTAGCCTCGATAAACACGAGTTAGAATGTACATTGTTCTAAAGTTGAGTTGAGTTTTCATTCATTTATTTTATTTCATTATTTTATTTCGTTCAATGTATATCAAACATTATTATCAAATGTCACGACATAGAACTTTACCCTAACTTATCGCTCATGAGCAATTACTTACATTGATGTTGTGCAAGATTCGAACTCAAAAAGAAGTTTCAGAAACTGAAAAATCTGAACTGAAAAAACTAAAATCAGACTAAATAAATTGTGGATTCCTGAAGACCCGCCATCAGACAAGTGTTAAATCCTGTCTCCAACATTAAATGGATATACAGTACAGATCGAAAGTTTGGACACACCTTCTCATTCAAAGAGTTTATGAACATTGTAGATTCACACTGAAGGCTTCAAAACTATGAATTAACTCATGTGGAATTATGTGCATACTAAAAAAAAGTATTAACAACTGAAAATATGTCTTATATTCTGGGTTCTTCAAAGTAGCACCTCTTGCTCTGATTACTGCTTCACACACTCTTGGCATTCTCTCGATGAGCTTCAAGAGAACCTGAAATGGTCTGAGTTCCCACAGATGCTTGGTACTTGTTGGCCCTTTAGCCTTCACTCTGTGGTCCAGCCCCAAAACCATCTGGATTGGGTTCAGGTCCAAAACCATCTGGATTGGGTTCAGGTCCAAAACCATCTGGATTGGGTTCAGGTCCGGTGACTGGAGGCCGGGTCATCTGGCCCAGCACCCACCACTCTCTTTATTGGTCAAACAGCCCTTACAGCCTGGTGTGAATCTACAGTCAATAGTCATGAAAAGAAACTCATTGAATGAGAAAGTGTGTCCAAACTTTTGGTCTGTACTGTAGATATTTAAAAGATGGATTTGTTTTTAATGGATCAAAATTCAGCACACCCTTTGTCTTCTATACTTAGGTTCGTTTTTTCAAATAATGCCTTTTTCACCTTTCTTTTAATCTTGTCTTTGTTAGAAATTAGAGTAAGTGTAAATTAAAATATGACTGAAATAGACTAAATATTAGACTAAAATAGATTAATAAATATAAATCATGAGTAAAGTAATAAGGAGAGGGAAAACTGAAGTAAATCTAAATGGTAGTTATTGGGCTACATTGAGCTAGCGGGTTAGCATGGTCCATCTGTAAACAGTCTATGGTTCTATCCAGGCCGAGCTGGTACTAAAGAGTTCTAACTGACAGAGAATGACCAGAGTGCTGCTGGAAACCATGGTTACCAAGGAATTTCCCTTGTTTGTTGTGGGCAAGTTGCAAGGATACGGTACCAGTTACTATAATGTATCAACCAGGGAAATGAGCCGAGTGTTGAAATAATCACATTTCTTTTCATCTAATCTCAGTTGGAAATGGGGGTAATGTGTAAATTAAAAAGTGTCTGAAATAGACTAAACTAAACCAGAAGTAACTTTATAAGGAGAGGGGATATTTGAAGCAAAACTAAATGATAGAGGCTGGATTTTTTTTGCTGACGTCCGCGCAACGAGATAAAACAGAACGCTTCTTGATGATTAATAATGCATTGGTAAAGGTGGCGTTGGCTTTGTTTTGACTACAGTTCACAGTTTTAGTCCTGCAAATAACACGATGTGGCAAAGAGGGCTATTTTATTCCTTTTGCGTGGGTATTTCTTTAGCGCGTATATAGAAAAGTTTCAAAGGGGGTCACCAGTTCCACTATATACCATACATCCTGTAATAACTAACAACACAACTGCAGTTTTAATACCATACATTTACTACAGTTACTGCAGTATATTATAACTATAGTATACAAACAATGATACAGCATTTCCTGTCCTGATCCGAGTTTGCCTACAGCTGCAACACGCACTGATCTCTCTCCTCTTTGAGAAAAACAGAAGCAGGTAAACGTACTGTATAATAATGGAGTGAACTTAAAAGATATAGATTCGGTTTCCCCAAGGCTGCAATTATGACAGAAGAGACGCCACTAAAATCCATACAAGACACAGCCTTTTACAAAGAAGTTATTTCGTACCACTGGAAAACAATTTATTGGAAAAAGATTAGCACGAGTTTATAGCCCCGTTTCCACCAGTCCCTCTCTATTCTACTCTATGTTTACACTACCTCAAACCAGTATCAAGTACTTTTATAACACCTGATTGGTCCTTGTTCTAACCATGGACCGTATATTAGGAGTGGACTGACTGCAGACGTCACAGACTGTGGAAGAAGACGGTTTGAACCTAAGCTAGCTGGTGCTAATTTCTTTACATAAGTATTTGTTCCAATGACGTTAGCTTCAGGAAGTAACAGGGCTAGCTAGTGTTTCCTCCGGGAATAAAGGCAACTGATAAGTCAATTCTTACGAGGCTCATATGTGGATTTACTAAGACAATTTCAAAATAAAAACACTTTCAATGTAAGTAAATAAGAGCCAGAGCAAGGAGAAAACTTTGTCCATGAGCACTTGGGCTTCATAGAGCTAGCAGGATAGCATGTTCCATCTATATACAGTATTTAATTCTAACCAGGCCGAGCTAAAGTGCTCAAACTGAGATTGGCCAGAGTGCTGCTGGAAGCCAGGGTTAACAAGGAAATCCTCCATTTACTGGTTTGTTGTGTGTGAATTGCTAGGATAATAGATACTAAAGCATAATGGAAACACAACCAGGTAGAGTAGGGCCGAGTAGAGCAGGACCAAATGGGGCTGGTGGAAACGGGGCTTAAGTCTCTACAGTATGTCTCTTACCTGAGTAGTCGGTCTTTGTTTTTCTCCACCTCAGTTGGAGGCACATTTAAAACCACCACCTGCATGTCCAGCTGGTTCACCACAGACACCTAGCACACGAGTAAACACACATGGCAAACACAGCGTTAAACACACATGGTTATTAACTTTGACACAAGGCCAGGGCCAAGATCACGAGGCAGAACAAGACATATTGACTTTTACAAGAGGTTAGAATTAATTGAAAGACAATGCAAAAATCAATATTTATGAGACTGTATACAAGGAAAACAGAATACATTGACAAACATTAGGAAAAGTCTAAGAATAACAATTGAAAAAGTTATGGTTTTCCCCGATAAGGATAAAAGTATTACTCACTTTATTTGTTTCAACAGAATTAGTCTACATTGGTGATACAAATACAAATATACACTCTAAAACATCAAATACTGAAGTCAATATTCTCAAGGCAATGATTAAAGCTGGGGTACCTAACTTTCTCATGTATTATTTTTGAAAATAAGTATTATTTATATTCAGGAAAAGAGTGTTGTAAAAGTAAATTCTTGTGAACAAATCAGACCACAACATTCTTGTATTTAGAAATTACTTTATCTTTTGCATACTTGTAAGTAAGAGTCCTGTGAGTCACTATCCGACTCTTTGGGCTGAAAACTCAGGTCCTTCACGGCAAAAAGCGATGGAAAATAAGACAAAAATGGCTCAAATTTGGCTAAATATATCTTAACTTGAGCACATTTTGACTGGGACAAGCAAAATGATTCAATAGGATAAAAGGTCTCCCCTGGAATTAAAAAAAATAATAAAGCAACAGTTCTTGAAATGAGATTAAATGGCTTTGTCACATTGGCTAAACGTGTTTTAAGACGGACAGAATTAATTCAGACAACACTTTATCAAGCTATTATTTTTTTAGTGCACTTTGGCTGAATGAGGGTGGTCCCCTCTTTTCCACTTTTCAGTCTGAAAAAGCTGACCTGAAGAAATGACAGAGGCCACAAATACATGCAAACACAAGTGACAGATCTAAACTGTTTTAAGAGCGAGGAACTATTTAGTGTAATAACATTGGATTTTATTACACAGTTCAACTCTAGCGGTTTGTAGCCAGCTTTAAGAAACATTTTAGAAGAATGGTTTCAAATGTTCAGGCTTTCCGAGATAAGGACAAAGGCATCAGAAGTAAAACTCTGGATTAAGATGAATAGATCTGACATTTAGGACTTTAACATTACCACGATGTCGGCTCGGCTGCTGTGCCCCAGTCCGTAGTTGTCCGTAGCAACCACCTCAAACTTGAAGTAGGACCTCCTCATGTTGCGGTACATGATGGCCGTCTTGACCACGCCCGAGTACGCATCGATGACAAAACCATCTTTACTCGAGTCTTTGCTCATGAGCGGCGGCATTATCAGGCGGTACGTCATAGAACTGTAGTTACCGGTGTCTTCATCCACGGCCTGAAAGCAGAACATTTGCATAGTAAAAATAATAATAATAATAATGATAAAGAATATCTATAAAATTACTAGAATTTAACTGAATTTATTTAATTAAATACTTGAGACATAAGTAACTGTTTTTATAATCTGTAGTGTCTTGTCCAGGTCTCCCTTGAAACAGCGGTTCTTAATCTCAATGGGACTTTCTTAGTTAGATCAAAGTTCAATCAAATAATAAATTGTACTACTTTTATAGCACTTTTTGGACACTCAACAACGCTTTACAGAGGGACAGGATAATATGAAGTATAAACAAATAAATAAAAAGCTAAAATAAACTGTTAAGTGTAGGCAGTTTTGAAGTGGTGGGGTTTTGGCAGTCAAGTTCTGAAGTGAGTCTGAGTTCTGGATGTGTTGTGTGTGAGAGAGTTCCAGCTGCAGCTAAAAGCTCGACCCCCCCAAGGTTCGGCACTTTGTTCTGATGAGGAGAGAGGAGGTTGGAGTCTGTGGATCTGAGGAGGAGGGAGAGACAGTGACGATGGAGAGATACGAGGGGGGCAGGTTATGAAGAGACTCGTAGGTGATGGGGAGGACCTTATATTCTTTACGGTATGGGAGGAGGAGCCAGTGGAGTTGTTTGAGGACGGGGGCGGGTGGCAGAGTTCTGGATAAATTGCAGTTTCTGGAGATGAAAACAATTATTCAAATGTGACTGTTGATGTTGGTATGTATTTTGACCATTTGAGACTGGTACGTATGTGACTTCTGAAAAACTCGCACTGCTACAGTCACTTTTAATCTTATCGTACATACTAGACATTTTTAACACTTCCTATTTTTCTGCCTTGAGCGATTTTATTTATGCCAAATGTATGATATATGATAATGATATTTTGTCTGAGGAAGGCCTGTGGCCGAAACGTTGCTAATAAACCACTGGTGTTTGCAAGTTGGACAGTGTGCGGGTGTCATCCTTTCTTTCATGTTTGGCCACCTAGTGCGCGCCCACTCCTACGCACCTGTCAGAGAAGAGATGTGCGAAGTCTACCTCTTTTAACAATTTATGCCAAATGTGACATGTAAAATCTCTCCATTGTGAGATCCATAAAGTAGCCGACCCTCTCCTCAGCATTGTCCCTGTGTGTACGTATGGTTATATCTCTGGTAACTATGTTTAGTGTCATTAAATGTCCCTTTTTTATCTCCATTTGGTTAATCCCTGACACATACGGTCACAACAACATTCTCGTTTTAATAGCTGTCTCTAACAAAGCTTTACAATTTCAGAAATATAGATTGAAGCTACACTGTTTTTCTTTTCTGTTTTAAATTGACGCACATTGCATTGCCAATAAATGTTTTATTCCAAAGTAATTTGAAAATTCTTTGGCGTAACGTCAAACTAATTAAATTGATTTTCTTTAGAACAACTCAAAAGCACAAGGACATTATATATTTTATTTTATTTTTTTCTGTATTCACTTTTAATATGATTGTATGTGATTGTGCTGAAGTTAATGGGTTAGTTTTTCCGCTTTGTTTTTTTACTTGCTGTAGAAGAACTGGACAAATGGCGGTATGTGGAACAGGTTTTGGCAAAAAAGCAGAAAAAAAGAGAAGGTCTGCCAGCGAGTGTGATCAATATTGCACATGAACAACACAACAGGGGGTAAAATGATGCTTTGAGCCTTAAACATATCCAATAATCTATTCAGTCTGTTCTGGCCGTGTATCAAGTCTCCCCCCCCTCCTCCTCCTCCCCCCTCCCCCCTCTCCTCCCTCTCCTCCCCCCCTCTTTTGCAGACGCGCACGCAGGCGGCCCATTGATTTATTGCAGTTTCTTTTAAAAGGCTGGAAGAACAGACTGCAGATTTAGCCCGGAACACCCACACCGTCAGAGGCGATGAGAGAAAGAGTGCGGAAGACACGATGGGGTTCTGGCAGTCATATAAATAGGGTTATGTTGAAAACTAAACATGATTCCGAGCACACGTTTAGGGGAAAAACAAGATTTTGGGTCAAAAAACAGCTTTGAGACTTGAGTAATGGTACGACCCACTGCTGTGTGGGCGGCACCAAAGACCTACTTGTTACATTGAGCATAAAGAAAACTACACTCAATTCAATGGGATTATCAAAAAGGTCTGGAGTGTTTTGGTCCTCGAGGATTTCAACAATGTCTTGCAACTGTCGCTTTTTACTCTATCACCGCGTGGGGTTTGCTTGTTCTCCCCATGTGTGCGTTGGTTTCCTCCAGGTGCTTCGGTTTTCCCGCACTACTATAAAAATGTACAGTTCTGTGTGGAGTGAGAGACAAATGCCCACAGTACTTGTAAAGCTCTGTGTGACTCTGGACTGTGAACTTACTTACTCCAACTCTGTGACTGTAATTGTATAAAATAGCTACAGTATATCTATCATAAGTCCACGTTCTGCAAATACAGCCGCTGTTTACTTTGGGTATTAGATTTCCACACACGCTCAGCTGCTGCTCCTAAACCCATGATTCCCGTTAAGTTTTGTTTTGCTTTGAGTACCAAAACACGTGCAGCACTGATCCCGAACAAAATGAGTGAGTCGCTTTCATCTGCCCCAATAAATACACGCCTACTATTAGCTTTTCCCTGTGCGCCCAAATCAATCAATCAATCAATCAACGTTTATTTGTATAGCGCCTTTCCTACACAAGGCAACGCAAAGCGCTTCACATCCCCTATCACATCATGCATAAATCAAACACATTAAGAGCACAAGATATATTAAAAACATTAAAAATAAAATCACAAAAATTAAAAACCTTTAAACATTAAAATCACAGATGTCCGGGTCGGTTCATATGGCACAAACATGTCGTGGATGTACCTTGGCGCGAGACCATGGAGAGACTTGTACACAAGTAAAGCTGCTTTGAAGTCTATTCTCTGAGGAACAGGAAGCCAGTGCAGAGACCTGAGAACTGGACTAATGTGGTCGCACTTCCTAGTTCTGGTCAGATGCATCACTGCCCAGTCTTATTGTTACATACTTTTTCTTTTTACTACGCTAAGTTAGAGACCACACCAGTGGATGGAAATGTAGTTTTTATGAGTAAAACTTGAAATGTCCCTGCAGTATAAAATATATCTTAATTTTCTATTCAAATGTAGCTAGTGTGGTTTACATACAAGTGCGTTCTATCACTAGAATTACAAGATACATATTAAAGTTATTGTCTGGAGTTTGTCAGAAAAAAAGAGAGAGGTACGTGATTTGAAAAAAAACTGACTGCTCCCTTCCCCTTCCTTTCTGATTGGTCTACACCTACGTGTCCGTAACAATCAATCAACGCATTTAAATGTTAATCGGAAAATACATTATACATATACATTATTAATACACATAAACCCGGAAGTAGCTATTATCATTGATTGAAGATTTTAGGACACATCTGCAGACGATCTGATTATGGCTATAAGTTCAGTATATAAATGATTATGGATATAGGTTCAGTATATAAATGATTATGGATATAGGTTCAGTATATAAATGATTATGGATATAGGACCTATATCCATAATCATTTATATACTGAACCTATATCCACAATCATTTATATACTGAACCTATAGGTTCAGTATTTAAATGATTGTGGATATAGGTTCAGTTGCTAAATGGGTAACTCGCGCTGAGTTACCCATTTATAAACTGAACCTATATCCAGTAATCTCAGTATCTTCAGTATTCTTTGTTTTCATGTAGTTCCAGAGCCTAATAGAGGCTTGATTCGGAGGCTCTGTGTAAACAAACAACTGAGCATGAGCAGCTACGAGCATGAGCGCCGATGATTGACAGCCGTTGGCATCACTTGATTGGTTAAAGTGGACGGCATCGTGGATTTTGAGCTATAGCTAAGAGAAGGGAAGGGGGGACTTACCCGTAAAATTAGAGTTCATAAAATGACTTATTTTGAATCAACATTTAAGGCCAAAAGGTCAATTTAATACAATTCTTAAAATTTGTAATTCATTTAGAGTTCCAGACTATCACTTAAAAATCCCAAACTTCTTCCATCTCCCAAGCTAAAAGTGTATCTTCTTCTCCAATCGCTATGGCAACAGTTCTCATTTTTCATCCTTCTGAAACCCAAGGACAAGTAATGGATTGTGTTTTGAAATGAGGCTAAAATACTCTGTAATCGCTCGATCCGACTCCCAACAGGAACTAAACATATTTACGGAAATCCCAGCGAAACAAACCAATCCAACATTCTTTAGGTCCATGACAAAAATTTGACAGAAGATTAACATTCACGATTTTTCATATACGGAGAAGAAACCCCTTGGAGTGTCTCATTTGCGAGGAATAACTCAATCACAAGGAATATAATGTAAGTATCAACAGCGCAGAGAGACAATGGGATGAATATGAATGACGAGAGTGCTTAAGCTTCATAGATTTGCAGATTGGCAGAAATCCTGTGAGTCTGATGAACCAAATCACAAATTATGTCTTCAAACTCAAAGCAACAGGGGGTCATTTCCATTTTCCCGTAATTGCATTAGTTACGGAAGAGAAAGTAGCAGTGTAGGAGCGAGAAAACAGAACTATTGGGAACTCGCTAATGTATTTGTCACATGCAACGACATCAATATGCATGTTCTGAGGCACAGGCGCATCAGCCGAGTGGGGTCTGGGTCATGGACGGTCATCTGCATATTTACGAAGAAGAGAAAAACATAAACACAGGGATCACAGAGAGCGCGAAAATACAGATTTTCTAAGCCCAAAATGGTGGGTGTGACAGAAACGGCTACTGAGCTAGAGGAGGTTACTTATACATGTACAGTATGTCAATAGGAGCCAGAGCTAGCATTGTCCATCTATCACCAGCAGGGGTCTCCAACCTGTAGCTCGGGAGCCACCAGTAGCTCGCCACCCCCTCCCAGGTAGCTCGCCACCTCCTCCCTGGTAGCTCGCCAAAGGATTGAGAAATGAGTCAAATAATATACTTAATATTTCAGATTGTTATTATCATTATT